ACTAGTAAGTCCCTAGTTACAACAGCAAGATAATAGCATGTAATATTGTCTATGGCAAATAGGATGGAAAAAACAAAGTCCAATTAGCATTTTCCACTGCAGATGTTCACCCTTTTGTCTCAAATCAAACAAATCCCACTCTGAGACCGAACCATCAATGCTGGAAGACAACAATCGGCCCAACGCTCCACCTCTCGGCCCCGACCGACACCACACCAGCGAACTCACTGTCGACAAATTAGGGTCCCCATGTATTCTCTACAGATGAAAACCCCAAACAAAAAAAAAATCAAATTCGCTAATTGTTTTACATAGAAAAAACGAAAGGTCTTTTCAATATAAAATCAGTGCGAAGTATATATATAGAGAGAGATAGAGGGGTGGTGTGGCGTACTAGCTGGCAGTGCCAGCCTGCAGTGCCGGGAGAAACGAGCCAAATCTCGAGAGAGTTGTCGGCGCGGGCGGCGGCGACCTGTGAGCCGTCGGCGCTTGTTGCTAGGGCTACAACAGCCGATGGTTTCCACTCAACTGGGTTGATTCTATGAACCTTGAGCATTTTTGCTTACTGAATTTTCTCAAAATCTCTAGGGATTTTGATAGGCCGATGTGTGAAGGCGGAGGGAGAGCATAACAGAGAAAGGGGGGCGGGCGTAAAGGAGGCATTAAGGTAGGTTTTTGAGGGTTTAAGAGCGCACGGGTTTGACCCGGTTTAATTGGATCGTGCCATTTGTTCCGGTTCGATTTTATTCGATTTTTAATTTGGGTTTTGTTGCCGGTTCAATTCTTGGTCGGGTCGGATCCTTGTGTGACAATACTTATGCTTTTATTTGAAAAATACAATAAGACTTAGAGGGTGTTTGACTAAGCTTAAAAGATGTTAAAAGGAGCTTATAATATGTTTTACAGCTTATAAGCTCTTCCAAAGTGTTTGGTAATTTTTTAAAAAAAGATCTTAATTTTTTTTAAAATAAGCTGTTGGAGACCAAATAAGATCTTTTAAAATAAGTACATCTACCCCACATTTTTATTTAAGATCTTATAATGAGTAAAAATAGGAAATAAACTCATTATCCAAACACTCTAAAAATTAATCCAAAAAATAAGATGTAACAGCTTATCAGCTCTAAAAACATCTTATCAGAATTGATAAGATGTTTTCACAATTGATTATTAGCTATTGGTCTATTACTCAATTTCATATTTATGCTCGTTTTCTTGTACAACAATCTTATTACAACATGAAATTATTTTATGTATTTTATATTTCAATTTTATGTTGGATATTTCGACATACTTATTTAGGCTGATCCAATAGGCTCATTAATTATTTACGTTTGGATCATCCAATAAGCCCATACAATTTATCTACCATTTAAATAATCAAACTTATGGTTGAAGCCCGTTACTTTACCTACTACAAGCTCGTTAAGATTTTTAATCCAACACATAATTATTATTTTATAGGAGGGTTTTATTAATCCAACTATAAAACCCCCTAATACTCATAACACATTTTTGTTGTTTAAGCTCTTTTGAGATCATATTATTTGTTTGACTAAGAAACTGAAATGAGTTTCGTAGACGTAGTGAAACATATCCCCAATCAATTCATTAGCTCGTCTGCGACAATCTACGTATCGTATTCTTTATGCGATACTTGAAGTAAGTGATATTGCATTAAATTACTTTTTGATTATACATTTATGTTTTTATTATACCATGATTACTACTTAGGATATTAAGAATGGTCTAGTTTGTTAATTACTCCAAGTTTGATTGGGTACTCCTTAGTTTAGTACATGGGGCCTATACTTAAATTCTATTTAAAAAAATCGTTTTACTTTTAATTACTTTTCAAAATGGCTAACTTCACTTATCTTCAATATACTAATATTTATTACATCATTAATGTCTTTTATACCCACATACAAAGCTTCGAAAAACCCACTCGAATTGCATTTTATTTGACTATTATTATTTTTTATTTTTGTAACTAACAATTTTAATTCTCATTGCAATAGTAGAATCTAAATTCATTATTTTTTTGTAATCGCGGCTAATTCATATATATACGTCCATTTTTCTTTTTATACTTTAGTTTCTTTCATTTTAGTCGAAATTGTAAAATTTCATATACAAAGCTATTTATTCGAAGGATGGTAAATAAAAAAAACATTTATTAAACATGGAAATAGAGATAATATGTTGTATCTTAATTTTTTACACAAAATAATTTCAGAATATCATTCGGCTACTAATCTCAATTATAAGTGACTCGAAACTAGAGGTATTTGGAATAAAACCCATTTATCAAGAGATTCAGTCCACTAAGGCCCGTCAATAGACTCGACCCAAAGAATTTTTTACCACATGACCAAAAATTCAATTTTTAAATTTTTTTAAATTACCAAAAATTCCTTTGTATATGAATCCTCAATTATTTCCCAAAATTAAATAAATAAAAATAAACAATAGGAGAAACGCAGCACGAAATTTAGATTTCAGACAGAGTATGCAAGTACATGTGATCTCGAGGGGCACTAGTGCACTAACTCGCACGAAACTACCTCGTTTTATGACACTGCCATTTATAAACCCTAAATGACTAAATCCCCCTTTTTTCTTAATTTGTTTTTTAATTAATAATTAAACCTTGTGCCTTCATGTTAACGTTTTCGATTTACCCCCTTTTCTTGCCCTAATGAAGTCCAATCGTAATAGCAATTCACTACTTTCTACGGATTAGAAGATCAGAAGTCCAAAGAAACATTACATTGGCAATAATTTCATCAGAGATTTGAGAATCAATGGATGATGCCTACGCTAGATCCGTCGGCGAGGTAATTTTTTTTTCTTCATATTGAAGCAGAAATTGTAAACTTATATCCAATATATTCGATTATTTAATTCACTATTCAGCTGTATCCCAGATCAAATTGAGTATGTAGTACATCGTACGGGAGTTAAATTTTGTTCTTCTTAAAATTAGTTTTTCTGGTTGTTTCATTTTGATCTTCATAGTATGATGCCTTAATGAAGGTGTTTTGCTGCCTCTACTTTTAGTGAGCCGCATTAGAGATAATTGGCCTGCTACAGA